TGATCACTCTTCTGGATGACCTTAGGTGAAACTAGAGTGAGGGAGTATAGCCTATGTGGTCTTATTACAACACTTAGCACCATTCACTATCATCAACCATGGATAGTCTATAAGGACTGGGGGTGGTAGCGTTTTTACAGTATTTCCACTCCTTCCTGAGATGATGTTTCCAGTTAGTAAAAAGCTTTTGGCTACTCCTTTGTAGGGTGCTTTAGGGCCCAATTCTCCATCCCACGTTGTTCAGCATCTGTATGAAATAGTTGGCAGACTATCCATTGGTTCGGAGTGAGGTATTATTGGAATGCTGATTATACTCTTAGCAAGAGATGTAGTGGATGTCCTTTCCCACTGTCTACAAGTATAAGGGACTGGATAGGAGAAACCATCTGAAACTGAATCCTAGCAAGATGGAGTTGCCGTTTGCTCCGAAACTGTCCGGCCCAGTAGTGGTTACTACATTAGCTTGGGATGGGGTTGTATTCCCATGAAAGGGTAGTCTGCAAGTAGGGTGGGTGGGGGGAATATTCTGGATTCATGCCTTCTGCTTCAGCGGCAAGAAGAGGCTGTGGCCAAGGGAGCCATTGCTCAGCTTCAGCTGATACACAAGTTCTAACCTTCTTTAGTGCAAGAGACCCTGAAGCCCTCATCACCTTGAGACTGGATTACAGCAACATGATCTACTTGGGACTGCTTTTGAATAAACTGCTATTGGTGAAGTAGCAGCTTGCTTGTTGGCTAGCGAGGACCATTTCAGCAGCGCAAGATCTATCCTGTAGCTGCTGCGTTGGCTGTCAATGTTTCCAAGTCCAATTCAGAGTGTTGATTATGACCTATGAAGCCCTTTCTGGCTTGGGTCACAGTCTGCTCATCCTGAGAGTTCAGTCTGAGAAGGGATGCTACAGATACCCCACTCCTGGGCATGAGAGAGATGGAGAGTATAGACATCCTTTTTGATGGCAATCTTTCTTGTGGAATTGGCTGCCCGGTCAAGGGCTTGATGACTCCCCCACCCACTCCCCCATTCCTGGCTAGAAAGACAAGAAAGACATTACTATTTCACTGGGCTTATGGAGCTTAGATTGTTAATTTGTCTGGTCTCTCGTTAGGGTTTTTTTTTTAAGGACATTTTAATTTTGCTTTATTCTATTTTATTTTGGATGTCCAACTATGACTTTATTGGATTGTGAAGATGTTGTTTATATGATTGTTGTGAGCATCCTCAATGAGAGTGGGAAAAAAGTTCTGTCATAAATAAACACATACCTATGCTGCTTCTGGTCCATACATCTAGATCAGTGTTTCTCAATCTTGGCAACTTTAAGATGGGTGGACTTCAACTCCCAGAATTCCACAGCCAGCCATGCTGGCTGTGGAATTCTGGGAGTTGCAGTCCACACATCATAAAGTTGCCAAGGTTGAGAAACACTGATCTGGAGGGCACTAAGGTGGGGGAAGGCTGCTTCAGAGAATGGTATAAGTTTATGTCTCTGGACAAATAAGTCTTTAAAGCAAAGGTTAGTGCTGAGAAGTCATTCTTGTTCATTCAAACCACAGGCATTGGTGCTGAGAAGCACAAAGGCAATTTCTACATTTTAACATTATTATTTGGCATTCAAGTCTGGGATCCAACTCCTTTTGCACATTTTTATTATAACTTAGTGCCAGTGTGAGTGAAAGTGCTAGTAATGATAATTTAACTTTTTGTCTTTCAAACAATTCTTCTAATTATCTAGGCTACGATAGATTTGGCGTATTAAGATGCCAAGTATTCATTAAAGTACTTCTGTCTAGATTGTTTCCTATCATAACGGATTATCACTAATGCAAAATATATTGTGATGCCTATTCTTTTAATAAGTTAATATCTTTTAAAACTAAAGTCTATTGTACAGGATGTTAATTATATCTCTGCTTATTGAAGCTGATTTACTTTATTTAGCTTATAATTTGTTCAGATAAAGTATTAAAAATCAAGAAATACTCTGCATACAAAAAGAAAGCAAATAAATTGCATATTAATTTCTTGATGAAGCCAGTGAGGTTTTTATCATAAGGTAATTGAATTCTAAAAGCATGAGTCTTACCAGTGTAGATACTGAGGGAACAAAAATAAATAATTATGATATCCAAGTTCCTTGGGACAACCTTATCTTTAGCAATCCCAGAACTGTTTTCCCAGGTAAATGGGGGCAGGGATGGGGGGCAAATGGCTGGAGTCAAACTAGTCCAAAATTTAGTATAAAGTTCAAGATGCATAATAACTGTACTGAAAATATATGGTTAGTTATATGCATTCCATGAATACAACAGAGAGGAAGGATGACATTCTCAAGTCTTAACCTCTTTACTTACAACCTCTCTTTCAGTCTTATGGCTTCTTCTCCACAGCAAAGAACTGCTCTCAAGATTGCTGGTTGTTGAAACCTCTACAATGTGTTCCTCTATGCATCCCCCGAGAGGGGGATCAAACCCTCTTCCTGTTCTCTAGAGAGCCCTAAGGCTTGAGTTTCTTTCTATATTCTGAAGTTTTGGAGTTTTCTACTATTAAACTGAAGTGTTAGATACAAAAAAACCTCTAGACATCTAGCCAAGAAAATAAATCCCAGGTGTCATTTGACATATCAGATCTAAACAATGGATTGCTTAATGACTTGAACCAGGGAGACTATTGTGTGGTTGGATAGGGAATCAAGTAACATGGCAGGTTTGGCTTATAACAATCTATTTTTAAGAAATTAGCACCAGTGGGCTGCTGGAGCTCTTAATCTTTTTGGAATTTTGCAAGCTGGTTAAGAGCTGAGCTGCAACATCTAACACACCAATCACTGTTTGAGGGCTCATGGAACAGTGTGATGGTAGCAATGGAACTGGCCGTTAATACATTTATCAGCATACCACTGATTAACACTAACTTGGGGAATGTAGTGCTTTGCTGATTAGTTGTTGATAATGTCTTGCAGACATTAATAGCTGCTGTACCTTCAACATGGGAGTTTAATGAGATAATGTTCAAGTGACTTGCAGAGATCAGCATGGCCTGCCTGCACACAGCACTATGCCATAAAGTGGCTTATTTGGTTTGGGCTGATCATGATATGTAAGCCTGACTATTACAGCTTAACATTATAGTTGAACCAGGCCTCTGCGTCTTGTTCAACAAAACAGAAGTAAAAAAGATCCTAATGTAGACTTAAGTTTGAACTCAACAAATGGCTGAGTTTATATAATGGTTAGGCCACATTTTAAAACATGATTTGTTGACTAAACCACAATTAGCTGATTTATACAGTACATTAAAAGATAAACAATGGTTTACAAACTAAACTTGCTGGACTCACACATTGCACTAAGTCAAAATCAACCAAATCCCACTATGACTGATTTTGCCATAATGTCTCCATTACTGCTTCTATAAGCTCATTCGTGTTTACATATTAGTAATGTTATGGGCAAATGGGAAGAAGTCATCCAGTCTTCTGTTTAATTTTATTTCTCCTAACAGGCTTAGTTTGCTGAGACAAAATTGATAAACACTGCAGTATAAAGTGAATATGAAAAATACAAATGTCAAAAATATAATTTCAGGATGGTTTTCATGCTGATTTTGACAGTATGTTACTTTATTTGACAAACAAAACTGTTCAGGGTATTATCAGATTTTTTTTTTATTTTTGGAAAGGCAACAGATTTTTGTCTGGCTAGCAGAGAGACTTCTGCTTTTAGTCTGCAGTTCTAATGAAACATTGGCTCTGTTATGCAGTGAGACAACACGATATAACAAATCATAAGCAGGGAAAACCTGCAAAGACATTTGTCTTCCAGAGATGTGGCAAAGATTTCATTTAAGAGGAATAACACAGCAACCTTTGGCTCTCAGTAGATAGTCGATGTACAAATACACAGAGCTTTTTTATGAAGGAAAAGGCAATCCAGAAAGAAGCCATTTGCAATGTATGTGCTTAATACTTGCTGTCTACTATTTCTCTGGTCCACTCTGCTCCCCTGAGCTGTTTTTTTCAAACATGAGATTGTATCATTCAGACAGAATTTAGTTTGGAGGAGCAGTAAGTGAAGAAAGGGTTACACACCGTGCATCATTGTTTCTTCAGTACAAATCATTCCCTTCCCAACAAAACAGCTTTTACTGGGGAAAAACAAACAAATAAAAATGTCCTACATTAATCAATTACATCAAGTTCACTTCACGTTCCTCATACTAGCAGGCAAGTGTCATGATAAAACAGGCAATAGGATTTTTATTAATCTGTTTATTTATGATATCTCCATGTCTGGCTAAGGTATTCCTGTGTTTCTCTCCTGAATTACTAGAGGCAATACCAGCTTCAAAATGAAAAGGGGTCACATATAAGGGAAGGTAACATTGTCTCATTCTGGCGACTTGACTTGTCAAAAATCTGCTGTGGCTCTTGTAAAATATCTCTGCAGCATTAAATAACATTTTACTTTAAATGTAAATTTCATGGTCAAGAATATTTGCATGCAAATATGTAATCTTGGATTGGATCTGGTGGAAGTGGGTCATGCTTTAATACAGCAGTGCCTAATGCGCATATGGGCCCCAGGGCTGCTAAATTGTAAATGGTAACGGGACAGAAGGGGAAATTGACCCGGTTACCATTTACAATTATTAAAGGGTGGTCATAGTAAATGATTTTAATTTTAATTAAATTAGTTTTTATCATGGCAGCACCCATTTTTTGTTTTGGTTCCATCTGTTTTTGGAGTGTGGCTTTCAGCAGGATAGCCCAAAGCCAAGGAAAGCTCTCTTTATCCCAAATCAAAGATTAAGCCCCTTTGCCTTTATTTGTTGAAATAAATGGAATGTTTTAGCCAGTGCTATCATGTTGCATTGATTTCAGTGGGGCCAAAGCATGACTGATGTCTTGTAGATCCAACCCCATGCAATTCTTTATTTTGATTTAAATTCTAATGTTCATGGTAGCAAAATATTAAGGGACCCTGATCTGTTCTTCCCTATTTTACCCAAAAGCTTTCAACAAACTTTTTATCGAGCATACAAGGCCAGCTAGGGTACAGACGATGCCCAAGATAAACATTGATATGTCTGCACATTTCTCAAATTGCATCAGCTTTTTCCATTTCAGCTTTAGGTGGAAAAAAGAAGGAAGGAGGAAGGTCATAGCTGCACCAGTAACACTGCCAGTTAGACCCATCAGAAGGACAAAGTGTGGTATGAACATGGCCATCAGCAGAGTTAAGAAGAGGAGGACACTTTTTAAAAAGACAGCAAGCCATGGTGATTTATAATTGACTTTGTCCCTAGGTGATACATAAGTATGCAAGATTTCTGTGATTGTAAAAAAGGGCAATGGGTAGGACAAGAGTGCCTTGGCCAAGAGACACAAGTTCACTGAAGTCTGTAAGGATGAAGGAAGGTTGTCAGTAATAACCTCCTTTGTTTCTTCCCCCCATGTTAGCAGTGCCGTTATTGCAAAGATTGTCTTGAATATACAAGCCAAGAAATGCGTCCAGTTCAACATAGACGTACACTCTCTAGGATTCTGCATACTTTCCTCAAGGGTAGGAAGGAAAATTTGTGAAGTGTAACTAAAAATGATCACACCAACAGAAATCAGGAAGCTTTCAAATTCTACCGACAGACTGAACCTTGCCCAAGACCAACGATGTCTTTGGGTCAAACAGTAAGTGATCACTACAAATATGATGACAAAATGGGCCAAGGAGCAGAGGAGACTGAGTCTGGATACAATTTTCAGGGTTTTGATAAACACACATGGCAGCAGACCAATAAATGCAATTATGGACCACGTTTTCTCGGTCACTGGTAGATCTGGAAAGCTATGTGACAGCAAGTTCCCACTGACAACCAAATACAAAATGCACGTCATGATCAATTCCATCAGCTGGGTCATGTTGACCACTCTACCACCAAGTTTTGGAAACAGCCTTCTGCAGCAAGCGTTAGCGATGTCTTCATATGTGCCTCTCACTCTCACAAGCTGCCCATCTTCATTCTCCTCATAGAGGCAAGCGATAAGAATTTTGCTGGTGTAGCAGCAGAAGACTGCAGCGAGGATAATAAGAAGCAGCCCACTGTATCCACTGTGGAGGAGAGCATATGGCAAGCCTAGAACAAAAATCCCCTGGAGACAAAACAGAGAAGACAAAAAACCCTGAAGAACGATGTCGATAGAAATCGCCCTGCAGCTGAAGATGGCTACCTTTGGCTAATTGCACAGAATGACTGCTCTTACATTAACCTGTCGCATTAAATAATGGTTGCCCCAAAATGCATATATTCACGATGAATGAAGTTAGAAGAAACACACACACACACACACACACACGCACAACTGCTGGCAGGAGCACAGAGGACCAGAGAACCTAGGAAACTGCATAGTGGTGAACTGCAGAGACAAGCTCTTATTAAATATTAAATGCTGGTTGTGATTACAGTCATAATTCTGAAAGGCTCTGAAGCAGCTACTTAATCATTGTGCATATTAATGTTCAATAGTGGTTCAATAATGATAAAATCAAAGAGCTTTAGCTGTCTTCACATGCTGTATGCAAATAGGGAAATGACACTTTTAGCAGCTATGCTAATAAATAAACATGAGGAGCTTGTCATGAATCCTTTCTTTTCTAACTTTGCAATACTCTTTTTCAATGCTTCCTTGTATTTCTGCATTCCCACGGGTCTACGGTAGTGAAAAAGCCCTTTCCTTTTGGCTTAGCCCCATAAACAAGATACCTTTTCCTCTCAGTGCTGAGCAGAGGAATGATGTTTTAAAATTTCTCCTAGTTATATATACTTAAAAACAGTAACAACAACTTACGCTGCAATAGAGATCCTGATTTTAGCCTGTATTCTATTACTTCCTCATCTTACTCCACAGTCCTGCCAGTTTAGCAAAACCAATAAAAATTAAAATTCCTAGAGGATGGCACAGAATAGACTGTCTACAAAAAGTAAAGATTCCCTTGAGTCAAGATTGAATCCTGGTGATTATGTCCACTTAGTTTTCTTGGCAGCAATACAGACCAGGGTCATTTCCCCAGGAGTGATTTAAAGCATCTTCCGATTCAGCCAACCACTGTTATACCAAAATAGCCAGAATGAGAACAGGCTTTCTATCACTTCCACAAAGGCTGATGATACTATGAAATGTTAGCACAAGCACTTCAGATTGTGGAGAAGATTTATTTTTCTATTATTTGCTATCACATCTTTTTTTTTTTTAAGTAGAGACATCAGGGATTGTCCTGTGACCCTGTGTGCACAAGGAGCTTCCCCTCTGAGCTGTATTTTTGTTTGCAAGATTCTATCTAAGAAATGAATATTAAGCCAGCTGTATTTTTGAGAGGGAGCATTCTTTCTTTTTCTAGGTATTACCTGATCCAGAGGCAGGATTTTTATATAATTATGCTATCTACCTACCACAGGGAATATGTAAAGCATTTGAAGGAGCTACTTTGCAATGTGTGGGAGCATCCATAATACCCCTCTCAGTGTCATCAAAAGAGGTGTGTTTTTTTGTAGGTTTGAGGATTATAAGCCTGCTTCAAAAGATGTTCCAGGCTGTTTCTGGAAAGTGATTATGTATGTACACACATACAGAGACAATGACAAAGAACTCTTGAACCAACCATGTGAGCTGTGCAAATGATGCAGCTGCTTTAATAATTCTATGGGAGGTGTTTCATTCACACTCCTGTGCATTACAGAATACTTCATTTGAATGCTTTGCACAGAGTCCGACTACCTAGATACCAGCAACCTTTCTCTAAAATATACACAAGGGGGTAGATGCCATCCAAATGAAAGTCTCTGATGCTTCATATAGTGTGATACAGAGAATGCTATTCTTACTACCATTTAATTCACATTAGTAGAGAAGCCAGACATCTCTTCAACAGTAACTTCATAAAAAAAGGTTCAGTTCCAGATGAATAGTTCTCACTGAGATTTCCTATTTATATACAAGAGCTTGAAAATATGCCATGGACATCAATGACAATTGTGTCAGTGTTTATATCTTATGAAAGCTAACAAAAAAAGAAAAAGAGAAGAAAACTATTTTTGTGCTACTCTTATTAATGTCTCAGTTGCAAGGGAACCACTTCAAGGAAATATGAGGTTCTGTTTCATTTTCCTCCTCTGCCAGATACTGTACAAGGCTGCATTTTTTGCATTTAAAGAGCTACACCAACAATCTTGGATGAAGAACAATTAGAGGGGTCCTCTCACAATTTGGAGCTGGACAACACACCCTGAGAAAGCAACATCTTCCAGTGGGATTCTTCTTCTTATTGCAACTCTAATCCTGTTCAATCTGCAAGGATAATAACCATATATTGGGTAAGTTCATGATCATTTAGTATCCCAGAGCCTATATGCCACCTAGAGTCACTTGTTGAGATGAGCTATAGAAATCAAACAAACAAATAAATAAATCCATTCCATGACATTTTCCTTCCAGTTGTCATCTACAGAAATTTTTTCCTTACCTTTGTATCAGTACATCTCTTTCAATGAGAAGCTGTACAGTGTTTTGTGGCAATTTTGGTAAAATCTTGTGGCAAATTCACTTATCAGTGCCTTGAGGTTCTTGCAAATGTGTAACAGTTATATGGAGTGAGAAGCTGCTGCATTAAGGGCCCAAACAATGCTAGATGGTACTCTTTAGCACTACAGGGTTGTAGTTAATACCCCAAATATTAATAGATTTAAGGCAAAGGGATGGAAAACAATGAATCTTCAGCCTGGTCATGTGACAGTTTATCATTCTCCCTTCCCTTCTGCTATATCTCCCTAGAATTTTGAAAGTGAAAATGAAAATCAGTTAGGGAAAGAAAAAGAGAAGGAAACAAAGAGAGTCACTGATAGGGATTAAAATTAAAATACCAGCTGTCAGGAATAGCCCTCTGTTCCACTCTAGCAATTGCTATAGCTCCATGCTGATCTGATCTGTGTCAACAGTTTATATTCTTTGCGGAACCTGCTGCCCCCTTGCTTTTCCTTTTCTGCTAGATTTGCACTTTTTCTATTTTCTCTCCATAGGAATGGATGAAGTATAGAATAGCTTGCTTCCATTAGAAGATTATCTCTGTGCCCCACCCCCACCATTTGCCCAACAATTTTCAAAATACTTTGCTGGATTTCCAATTAAAAATCAAGGCGTGTGAGTGAAGGTAGAGGAAGAATCTGTTCTCCATTATTATGGTATGAATTAATAAAGTTAAAACAGAGGTAAGAGGAGTAGTTATTACTACTACAGTAATCTGTACTACAGCAGATGAACTAGCACTGTTTTGATTTTTTAAATTTCTCCCATTTTTATTGGTTAGAACAATCTTGTGCTGAACCTAATGTCCTAGAATAGAGCTTTTCTGGCTTCTGCTTTGTAAAATCTCTTTCCCTTTTAACCATGTCAGACCCAGGCAACTTGGTGGATCTTTATACCAGGATAGGAAGAGTGGTTGCCAACCTGCTATTTTGGCAGCATCAATAAACCAGTAAAGTAAAATACTGGGAATAACACTCTAAGCACTGTTAACATTTTGGTTCTTTAAAATCCAGCAGGCTGAGTTTACAATATTGATGCAGCATTAATTCCACATACAGAACTAACAAGATAAGCACACAAAAGACATTCTTTATCATCTTAAAAATCAGAGTTTGATGGTGATATATAATTTAATAGATTTTTGGCCCTAGCATTGACATATTTTTTTCTCTACTGTCATGTAAATATATTTCTGCCAAGTTGTTTACATATATTTAATGAAGTAGGACCTAGTCCAGAAATTTATGCACATTTTTCATCAATAAGCCAGTAAAGTGAAATACTGGGAACAAACACTCTAAGTAACAATGCATTTACCACTGCTTTACAAACATAGAAAGCGCAAAATTAACCCTCATTAACCTCCCCAGCTTTATGGAGCTGTTATACTGAAGCAATATGTTTTGGTAATCCAAACTTGTCGTGGCTGCATACTTAAACAGGTAATTGGACCAGAAATGCATTAAAATAAGAAGAAGGGGGGGAAAAGAGAAGAAACTTTATAGGCTAGAGGGTCACTTTTAAGTGGAAAATATTAGTGCAAAATATTCTAAGGATTATAAATGTCTCTTCAAATAGATTATTGTAGTATATTTATAGAAAATTTATTTTCTTTGTGTTTCTATATACACGTAAAGCTGGAATCTCATTGTAGCATTATAACTGCCCAGATTTAAAAGGAATTCATTATTTAGGAATCCAAGATCCTAACACTCAATTTTGGTTCAAAATCCACGTATCAGCTATTCCCTTATTAAAAAATCTTAGCTTTAAAACAGTAAGATGTATCCACTTGATTGTATGGGATTTCTGTTTACAGCAGATATTTGTATTAGAAAATGCTGTTGAAAGTTAATGACCCCTTTCCTTTGTTTATTTTAATAGTGAGAAAAGCTTCTTTATGTTTCTACAGACCTCCAAATTGTGCCTAAGAACAATCTGTTAATTTTGTATTTATTTCCTTCCTCCACAGCATCATGCATTTTGCTGGCATACTTTCTAAAAAAAACACAATATCTCTGTCAAATGTTATTTTATCTGTGGGGGAGGGGGTGCCTTGGGGAGCAATTGCAATCTGATTGCTTTGAACTCTGGCACCTGTGCATGTTAATTCAATGCCTGCTGGAGCTAAATGGAAGAAGAAGAAGAAGAAGAAGAAGAAGAAGAAGAAGAAGAAGAAGAAGAAGAAGAAGAAGAAGAAGAAGAAGAAGAAGAAGAAGAAGAAGAAGAAGAAGAAGAAGAAGATCTTTTACAACTGAAATACAGAGGAATACTTCTTTTTGTTGAATCTGAAGGATGGAGAATAGAGTTGAACTTGTAAGCCAACAGACTATCTAAGGATACCTAAGGACAAGCCAACAAATAATCAAGCAGAAAACAAGACCCCAATCAAGGAACTACCAAGGAGAAAACCACATGACCACCAACACTGGCAAACCATCTACTGCATATAAACAGGGAGTAAACCCCACACTCACTTGCACCGATGTTGTTACCTAATCAGGTAATGAAATGTCTGCAAGAAACAACCAAGCTCAGAGAGCACCAAGGACTTCATAAGTTGTATATGTATA